TTTGTTAGGTGTGCCGTTTTAAGGGTTTGGAATAAATACAAAGCAAGGTTCTCTCCTAAGATGCCTCTTTGGGTGTTACCATAGGAAACTTTTTAAAAGAAAAGATAATGAGATTAATTTGGTGGACCTATTGTGAAATATATCTTCTATTCAAGCTCAAAAGAAGTACTTAGAATGGCATGTTTGTCACTGGCTCATATACTTACAACTAAACAAAAGATTTACCTCGGATAAGAAAAATCATATAAAAAGTGTATTTGAAATTGCACTGTGTGCTAATAATGAACAATTTCATTGCTAAGGTTTATAAAATGTTGAAATTGAATTGGAAAATGATTATGTTTTAATGGGCTGAAAACTTTGTTTATAACATAGTGCTTGTCCAATGGAAAAATATGTGGAGGAATGGATTGAAATTTCGATTAAATTATATTCTAAAAAAAAACTTTTATAAAGTGTATCATTGGTACTAAATACCTGAGAAATTCAAAAATATATAAAGGTGTTTCAAATATTTGTGGAAATGGAATTTGTTAAAGAAGATACTTTTTATCATCTTTGATGGACTTGTGATAAAGCAAAGAAATATTGGAGCCAGATTTTGTTGTAATTCACTAGATTCTTAAAACAAATATACTAAAGTGAAACCAGAATTTTTTCTTTTAAGACTATAGGATAAAGAACTTTAAAAACAATTTGGAACTTTTTTATTACATATTACATATATTGACTGCAACGAGACTCCTATATGTGCAAAAATGGAAAAATACATTTAATTTCCCACAATGGAAGAATGGATGGAAAAACTGATAGAGTTGGCAAAACTTAAGTGCCTTAATTAAAGAAATGAATTTTTCCAGTTTTGCTTTCACATGGAAACCTCTTCTGGACTTTATGCTCAAAAAACAGAAAAAACGAAACTTTGATTTTAAATTTTAACAATAAGGGTGTTTTGGTTTTTTTTGTTATAGAAAGGGTGAGTACTCACTAAATAGGTAAAGCAAAAAGTTGAAATTGTAAACAGTATTTTGAATTCTATTTCTGCACCAAAGAAAATTGAAAGTCACTGCCTTTTTAAATTTCCCTTTTACCTTCCTTCTTTACCTTTCCTTTATTTCCCTGCCACTTGTATTTTATTTGTATTTATATTATAATAAACTTTGATAAAAATTACATTAGCATGTACTTTGTTTATAACATAATGCTTGTCCAATGGAAAGACCATTAGCATATGAGTGACCAATGGCACTTGAAGGGGAGGAAATCCCTTTCTTTTGTGGAAGAAAAGCCTTGGATATGGTTTACCGTAATTTTTTTTAAAAAAAACTGCTAAATTCTAATTCTTTGCTGAGACAGAACGGGAAATTATTAAGTACATGGGGAATAGTCATATGAACTATATATATTTCAGTTTAATTTGGAATTAATCAGTTGTCATTGTATACTTCCCTCCCGCCTGAGTTTGACTAGTTGTTGCAGCCATTATGTAGTTTAGTTGAATGTTTAATACAATATATGACCCCATTCACTCTAGATGATAAATCATTGTCTCTGTGGCAGAACATTGGGTGAGTCTAACCATTATAGTTGATTAAAGAATCCACTGTTATGCAAACCATGGTTAGCACAATGAATGATCCAAGCTATCTTCTTAAGATACAGATTTCTGTCAATGCTTCACCCTTATTCTTCTCCTTAAATGCCAATTAATTCATTTGTTCCTCAGACTTCTGATTAGTGTTCCTGGAAATCTTTACCAGGCATCAGTTAAGCCTGATAAAACGGAGCACTTATTGGCCTAAGAAATATACAAAATATTGATCGCAACGCGTACTGAAAGCATTTCATATTAGATTTGATGTTAGTGCAGCCTCACAATTAAATTTAATATAAGTTAATATGGTTGGAAAGAAACCGTCAGTTCAGTGCCAATTATTTGAATGCACAGAATGGGAAATAAAAACAACCCAATTATGTGAGTGAATGTAACTTAGTGGCTTAGAGAGTGAGCCATGAAAGCCTTTTCTGAGCTTCATATCGTGCATCCATCTAAAGTTGTTAGGTGTTCAAGGCGATTTCAGCCATTCACTTGGAAAAATGAAAATGGTAGTAGTGATTTAACTAGTCATTAATTCTTTCAAGAAGACAATATTGTGTATTAACTGTTTGAACATTTGAAATTCTGTGTTAATGTTTTATTGTAAAAGCTTGGCAGATGTAGAATTCCTGGGAATTTTTAAAGTAACAAAAATGTTCGGGATAGAATGAAATTGAGGGGAAATTGTGTGTGTGTGTGTGTGTATACACATACATGCACACACGCACATACAGTGGTACCTTGCTACTCAACTGCTTTGAAACTCATCAAAGTTGGTACTCAACGCATTTTGATGTGAAAATTTTGTCCTGGGTTTCGTCGTTTGTTTGGTATTCATAGTAGCTAGAAAACAAAAGAAATCATCAGCATTGTAATAATGGAAAAAATTAACAGATTTGGAACTTTGTCCTTTACTGTATCAGATACTAAAAGCTTTAATTTTAAGTGGGGGGAAAGGGGGCAATCACCCTTTTTGCAAAACCCCAAGTGGAAATACTGAACTTATTGCATAAATGGAAAGATTGCCGATTTTGTGGTTCTACTTTAACCAAACATAACCCTCTTTAACTCTTCTGCTTTCCAAGAAACTATTTCGCCATAATAACATCAGGCCAATAAATTAATAATAAAAGAAGGAATAAATAATTCTTTCAAATTTATTACACCTCTACCATAGAAACATCTTGAGGGGTCCAACAGATTTTAAATGATATTTTTTCCTGAACTAATTGAATTTACTCATAAGAAACATCTAACATTACTTAATGTCTAAAGCCATTGATTAGGCAAAAGGACCCCTTAGTTCTCTTTTCCAGATTTCTTTATAAACTGTCCACATTTATTTTTGTCATTTAAAAAGAACTATTTTTATGAAGTAATAAACCAGTCTCAATAACAGCCTTTTCCAATACACTCAGTGCTTCTGAAAGATGCTGCAAGGGCATCAGTATTAAATAGTTCTTATTTTATATGTAACCTTTATTATTTTTTTTTATAAATAACTCAAGGTGGCAAACATATATAATACTCATTCTTCCTATTTTTGCCACAAGAACAAGAGAAACTGATGGGCCCAAAGTCACCCAGTTGGCTTTATATGTCTAAGGTGGGACCAGAACTCCCAACTTGCCATCTCTGAATATCAGAAATGAGTGAAAGGCTAAGATAAGAGTGCTTTGCTGAAATTAATGAAGCTTATGATAACACTCAGAATTGTATAGAGTGCCTTCTGTCACATGATACATCACTTTTTACAATATACTATTTAAATGTTTTCTTTGGATCCTCAAATGTTTTCTGATGTTCTTAATTTTGTGGGAATGAAACCATTGGGCACATCTCAAATTGTAACGGAATTTGTGTTCATATATAGGCAATTTTTTGGGGCGGGTTTGGGATATTTATAGTGTATTCTACAATTTAGGACTTTTAGTGATATTAAAATAGAATTGGGTCACATTATGATTCTTCATAACTATTTGGCTGTTTTGAAGAGATGTTATGCCAAGAGTAGTCCCTTGAGGTTGTTAATCTTAATTTTATTTTGGTTAAACAATTTTGTTTAAGACTCAGGAATCCCTTGAGTTGAATGGCTAATAATCTCTCTCCAAAAAGTACTTCAAGCGGTTTGGATTTGGAGTTCCAAAGGATGAATCTGCACATTTTTTTTAATGCAGTGCAGACAGAAAAGCATTACATGTGCTACTTGATAATGTGCTACATGATCCAGCCCATGACCTTGCCTACAAGCAATTCAGTTAGCTTGGTCAAAGATACCCTAATCTCCCTCTGAATCTGATAGATCTCTTTTCCCATTTCCTTTCATTTGCCCCATAAAGTTCTTCTTGGTTTCCTCCACATCAGTGTTTCTCAACCTTGGTAACTTGAAGATGGGTGGACTTCAACTCCCAGAATCCCCCAGCCAGCGCTGCTAGCTGGGGGATTTTGGGAGTTGAAGTCCACTCATCTTCAAGCTTCCAAGGTTGAGAAACACTGCTCCATATCCTCAGTCGTTCCTGTTATTAAAATATGTGGGCCTTTCTGGTGCTAATCACCCATTTGCAAAATAATTACATCCCACAGTCACTGTACTGAAGATGGATAAATTGGTGGGCTAAACTTTATTCCTTTAAATTAGAAGCATTACGGCTCATGTATTTTTTAATTTTCCAGTTTACTATATTTTTTCCAAACATTGTTCTAAAGTAAAATAGAAACTACTCTATGAAAACATGATACAATACACGGTTCTTTTTTTTATCCTTTTTATCAATTAATGGGACTTAGACCAAGCTTGGCTCACAGTGCAATTTAGAGAAGTTTTATAGAGAAATGTAGAACTTCCTAAATTTTTCAGGTTTTGTACAGCTGTGGTTTGGTTTAAATTAATTCCACAGAGAACATTTATTTCCTGAATTAAAACAAATACTTTCTTATGTAGCTGATTACTACCAATTTGTTTGAGCTGCAATATAAGTAGAACTCAGTTATTTCTTGGAGGGACAAATATTTCGTCTGTGTATCTAAGCTAAGCCTAGCTAAAATAGCAGTAGCACTTAGATTTATATATCGTTCCATAGTGCTTTACAGCACGCTTGGGGTGGTTTACAAGTATCAGCATATTGCCCCCAACAATCTGAGTCCTCATTTTACTGACCTCGGAAGGATAGAAGGCTCAATCAACCTTGAGTGATCAGGATCAAACTCAAGGCTGTGGACAGAGTTAGCCTGCAATACTGCATTCTAACCACTGTACCAAATCTGTGGAACTTGCTTCTTAGGCGAGTGGAAGAGGATTTTTCCTGCTGTAATTCTTCCTTTCTCCCATTTCTAGAATTATTGTGGTTATATAGATGTTATATCTATACTGAAATGTTATTCTGAACAATATTATTTCTCTTAGGATCCTGTGAAGAAGATTCCTGACTCACATGAAATTACCCTCCACCATGGCACAAAAACAGTAAGCATCTTGATATTTCCCTTTCTTAGGTTTAGGATAGAATATGTTGACCCTGAGAAGAAAATAAATTCTGTGAAAAAAAGTAGAAGGAATTGAATACAGATTTGATCATACGTAGAGTAGAAATTCATAAGAATCCAGTTGGCTAATTTAAGAGAAAAGAAATAAATTCTAAACTTCAAATGTCTACATTACAGTTGAACAGTTAAATGTACTAAGACCAACTTTTCTATGAAAAAATACATTCAAATCACACATAAAACACATACCGTATTTTTCACACTGCAAGACGCACCAGACCATAAGACGCACATTAACTTTAGAGAAGGAAAACAAGAAAAAAAAACTGCCTCTGCCTCCCAGCATTTATAAGGCTAGCATCCTTGCAGCAAACAGCAAACAGTTTGGTCAGCTTCAGCACATTGCGCCCACCACCAGTCAACTGAGCTGAGCTGCTGCTGCCGCCAGGGAACACTGGAGTCTTTGCTGCTGAGCAGCTGATTGGCGGTTGGATCAGCCTCCTGAAATACCGCCGATCAGCTGTTCTAGGCCGTGGGGATGGCTGGCGATCACCACCACTGCCTATCAACACCGCCAACATTCAGCAGCAATTGGCGAACGTCGGCAGCGGCAATCCATGCCACCTAGAACAGCTGATCGGCGGCATTCTGGGAGGCCGATCCAACTGCTGATCAGTTGCTCGGCAGCAAAAGCTCCAGTGTTCCCCAGCAGCAGCGAACGGCGGCAGCAGTGACAGGCGGCCACGGCAAAACCCCCCTCCCCCCCTCCCGCAATATTCACTCTATAAGATGCACTGACATTTCCACCCACTTTTTTGGGGGAAAAAGTGTGCCTTATGGTGCGCAAAATATGGTGTATGCACATAGTCTTGATTGTGTGTGTGTGAGCGTGTGTGCATATGTATACTTTACAAATTAATTTGGTTCACAGTTCATTTTCACATCTTACTTTATAGGTCTCTGCTTTAGGATTGGATCCATCGGGTGCCCGTTTGATAACTGGAGGATATGACTATGATGTTAAATTTTGGGATTTTGCTGGAATGGATGCATCTCTTCAGGCTTTTAGATCTCTGCAACCATGTGAATGGTATGTCATGATGCTTTCCCCCAAATGTATTAATAACTGTAAGCAAAATTGTAGGCAGTTTTATATTTAATTGTTAGTATTTAACTTTGGTTCTGTAATTTTTCAGTCACCAGATAAAGTCTTTGCAGTACAGCAGCACTGGAGATGTCATTCTTGTTGTTGCGGGTAACTCTCAAGCTAAGGTTCTTGACAGAGATGGCTTTCCTGTGATGGAGTGTGTGAAGGGGGACCAGTATATTGTAGATATGGCAAACACTAAGGTAAGGAGATAAATTTAGAGCTTGAATAAAGTAATTTTAGAGGGTTTTTTTCATGTTCTTGCGAAATATTGTAGCATTCATTGAAAAATATAAACCATATTTTTCTAAAATATATAATTTTTAAATAAAGGAAACAGATAATGATGTTTTGACTATTGCTACATTCATGTCAGGAGCTCCGAAGCTCTTTGAGTTGAAAGGATTGAATGATGACGTCTCCTTTGCCCGGGGATGTCCAGCTGGGGGCTCCTTTCATGTCCCCGTTAAGTTGCTCACCAAAGTGGTATCCATCTACCTACTCGCAGTCACTTGCTTTTGAACTGTTGGGTTGGCAGGAGCTGAAGTGTGTGATGGGAGCTCCCACAGCAGCAACTGGGTCTTGAACGCAAGTCTACCTATTGTCAGCCCAAAGTCCTGACCTCATGAATCAACACACTCCCTGTTGTTTTGCCTAAGGCATAGTTTTATTGCTCATACAGGTTCACCAGGCTCTGTATGAGCAGCATGGCAGATCACAACCTTGCCATGTTCATGTAACTCTATATAAAGTTAGAGTGGCATATTGTCTCTTGGGAATATAAAGCTTTGGGTATTCTCTAATGAGCTTACAGACTGAAAGTACAATCATAATAGCATCTGAGAAGGAAATAGTAATGGGCAACTTCAGTTGTAGTCACATGGACCGACAAAATGCATCTTTTGGACTTGACAAATGGTTGAGCCTTGAAACAGCCACTCTGGAAGCCAACATCACTGTTAACATTGGCCTTAATCTTCAAGTATTAATTATAGTCTTGTCCAAAAACTAGATGAACTAATTGGGAGTAGTGATAATAATTTTTTAAATATAAATGTAAATGGTGCTTGCCAATAAAGTCTATCACACACACATTTGACAGCGGAAGAGCAGATCTGCAAAAAATTAAAGGATTGTTGAAAGTAAAGTTGAAAGGAAAAATTAAAATGATCCATCATCTTAAAAATGTTTGGAGATAGTTCAGAACTATAAAACTAAAAGATCAGCTCCAAAGTATCCCTCAGATCAGAAATGTTCCAAGAGGTTCAGAAGAACACCATAATAACTAATGAGCAAGATCAGATACCAATAAAGTCTAGATAAAGGTCCTCTAGACTTGTTTTCCACATCCAAAACATGCAACTCTTGCCAGAATGTTGGCCAAAAAAATATGCAAAGAATTGATAAAAGATATTCAAAAAAGAAAGAAAATCTCACTTTAAATTGCCCAGGGCAAAGGATAAACTTGTAAGGCCATTGGACCACTGGCTAATGGGTCTGGCACAGAAAGAATAGTAAAGAGCAGCATTGAAGGGAAAGTTAGGATTGAATAAGGTGTTTTATCTCTTAATTCTGTACAGGTAGTCCTCAACGTACAACCACAAGTGAGACCAGAATTTCTGTTGCGAAGCAAAGTGGTTGTTAAATGAGTCGCACTCAATTTTTATTTTTTTTAAATTTGATTTATATGCCGCCCTTCTCCGGAGACTCAGGGCGGCTTACAATGCGTTAAGCAATAGCCTTCATTCTTTTGTGTATTTTATACAAAGTCAGCTTATTGCCTCCACAAACTGGGTCCTCATTTCACCTACCTTAGAAAGGATGGAAGGCTGAGTCAACCTTGAGCCTTGGAGAGATTCGAACCAGCAGAAATTGCAGGCAGCTGTGTTAATAACAGGGTGCATTAAACCACTGTACTATCAAGGCTCTATTATCAATTTGATAATCTTTTCACCATGGTTGTTAAGCTAATCACTGCAGTGTTAAATGAATCGTTGAGTTGTAAAGAGAATCCCAGCTTTTACTATTGACGTTTATTGGAAGCCGTCTGGAAAGATTGCAAATGGCGATCACATGGTCCCAGGGATCCTGCAACCATCGTATATACATGCGGGTTGCCAAGAATCTAAATTTTGATGATGTGATCCATGGAGATACTGCGATAGTTATACTGTATGTGTGAAAACTAGTCATAAACCACTTGTGCTGTTGTAACTTCTAATAGTTGGAAATGAATGATTGTAAGTTGAGGACTACCTGTAGAGGTATTTTGAGAGTATAACTGAGAGGAAGATAGAGCAAGTTTTCATTTCAGGTTGGCTTATTAGACACTTTTATGAAATTATTAAAAACAGGTAGTTAAAATAGTTGTGCATGTACATTGCCTTTTCACTAGTTTTTGTTGCTAATAGTATAAGTGATTTATATAGATTCTGAGTGGGATTTTAAAAAGTAAGAAGAGGTAACTAGAGGTGGAAGAAGTAACTATGGAAAGATATCAATGTTTGAGTACATGGACAGTTGCAAGATTATCCTCCTTATCTCAAGAGGTCCGAGCTCCGGACCTAAACCAGTAATTAAGACACAATACATTGTGAGGCTTACTGGATTTAATGAACTGTACTCTAGCACACAATGAGTTCCAAAAAGCAAATGGATGTAAAGTCAGTGCTGGGAGCATCTGCCTCCCAGTGCGGTTTGTCTAGGTGAGCCCTCCTGCCAGCGCAGTCCTCACCCCGTTGTCAGCTGTGCATCGGAACGGCCGAATGGACGCCGGCCGGTCAATCCATGGCCCCGAACAGCTGATTGTTGGCCCATTTGTGCAGCAGCATCGAACAGCTGATCGTTGGCCCGTAACTGGTGTTTCTAAGCAGGCAGCTTGCCTCGCACCGCACCACCTCCCCACTGCACAACTGATCCGTGGGCCACTCTCTGCCGAACAGCTGATCCGTGGCGTTCTTTGACACGCTGCTGCAGCCTCCGGTTCTACACCCCCCCATCACCAGTGGAGGAGCTCCTTCCCTTCCCTGGTATGGCAAACCCTGGGGTTTCGGGGTTTGACACCTTATTCTTCAGTTTTCAATGACGTTTATAAGGGTATTGGATTTTGGCACTTGTGTTGGAGACACCTAGGCACTTACGGATTGAAAGGATTAGCCGGTGACATCACTGTTGCCAGGGGGGTGCCCAGTTTGGGGCTCCTTTTATGTCCCCAGCAGGAGCAAAGGACAGGAGCTCACCCCACCCCATGACAGCACTCGGGTCTCGAACGGGAGCTTGCTGCTGGTTAAACTAGCGTCCTAACCATGCGAGCCACTGTGTTCCTACAGGGTACTGGATAATAATTATGTTTGCTTGTTGCAGCATTTGGAAAAGAAGAGAACAAATAAATTGTTTGGTTAAACATAACTTATTATGCATTATATTCACACCTTCTGTTCATCATCCTAGGGACACACAGCAATGCTTAATTCAGGCTGTTGGCATCCAAAAATAAAAGAAGAGTTTTTAACATGTTCCAATGATGGGTAAGTAATTTTTCAAGTATTCAAAAAGTAGACTATTTTGAATTCCTGCCATTTATTTACTTTTAAGATGTTTACCAACTGGGTCTAATCTCATGCTAAAGGATGCTAATTAGTTCTAAAGCTAATTTATGAAAGATTCATACATTATATCTCTTAATTTGGGAAGCTCAGTTCATATTTAACAGCATATTAAATATGGGGAGGAACAGACTCAGGCTCAAACCATCCAAGACCGAGTGGCTGTGGTTTCCGACGTCCCGATATAGTCAATTGGTGCCATCACTGACTATTGGGGATGAGTCATTGCCCCCCACGGAGAGGGTTCGCAACTTAGGCGTCCTCTTGGACTCACGGCTGTCTTTAGAAGAACACTTGACGGCTGTGGCCGGGAGGTCTTTTTATCAGGTTCGCCTGATTCGCCAGTTGCGTCCCTTTCTGGATCGGGACTCGTTAAAAACGGTCACTCATGCGCTCGTCACTTCACGCCTGGACTACTGTAATGCTCTCTACATGGGGCTCCCCTTGAGGAGCACCCGGAGGCTCCAGCTGGTCCAGAATGCGGCCGCGCGGGTAGTTATGGGAGCAGCATGGCGCTCCCATGTGGCTCCCTCCTGCGTGAGCTGCACTGGCTCCCTGTGGTCTTCCGGGTGCGCTTCAAGGTCTTAGTTACCACCTTTAGAGCGCTCCATGGCTTAGGACCGGGGTACTTACAAGACCGCCTTCTGCCACCAATAGCCTCTCACCGCCCAGTACGCTCCCATAGAGAGGGGCTTCTCAGGGTGCCGTCAGCCAAACAATGTCTACTGGCGGCCCCCAGGGGGAGAGCCTTTTCTGTGAGGGCACCCACCATCTGGAACGAGCTCCCCCCAGAGATACAGAAGATTCCAGATCTGCGCACTTTTCGCCGTGCCCTCAAAACATTCCTGTTTCAGCAGGCCGGCCTGGCCTAACTTTCCCTTTATATTGCTTTTTGGTTTTATTTTAAACTGGGATGTCTTGAATTATCTAGGACCAGAGTGTTTAGTATATTTTAATTGGTTTTTTTTAATTAACGTTTGTATTACATGTATTTTTATCATTCGCTGTTCACCGTCCTGAGTCCCTTAGGAATAGGGCGGTATATAAATTTAATAAATAAATAAATAAATAAATAAATAAATAAATAAATATGAATATAAAGGCTAGGCATGGTTAAGAAGAACTGCTAATTATTTTGTTTATCTTTTGCTTAGCTTCTTTTGCCTTGATGTAGTTCTTAGAATTATTCAGTAATGATCATCAATAGAAATGATTGTTTTAAAATAAAGATATGTAACCTTTTTAGGATTAAAGATGTTGGCTTTCAAATAACATTTCAAGCTGCATTGTTAAAGGAGTCACTGTGGCTGTTATTCTGCTAGTTGTAGCTGACTTTAGGGGGATCTGCTTCTTTAAGCTATTGAGCCAGTTTTGTCCAAAGATGTTTGCACGTGGCATATGAAAATATGACATTACTCCACAGCCCAAAGTGTATGGCAAAATACAGAACGCTGTTAACCTTCCTATCAGAGGGGTACCTGTTTATCTACTTGCATTTACATGCTTTCTAACTGCTAGGTTGGCAGGAGCTGAGACAAGTGACAGGAGCTCACTCTGTCTCAGAATGGTAGTACTCGAACTGCCAGAGTATAGACCTTCTCCAGTGGCTTTTAAGCCACTGAGCCACCATGCCTCTTGCATTTTTAAGGAATAACAACAACAACAACAACAACAACAATAGCAATAATAATTTCATTTTAATTTAATAAAAATTAAAGCCAATGAAATAATCCATATTATCATCCTCTTTGAATTTAATAATGTAATATTTTTTTTTCCTCTGTCACATTAATAGTGCCTTAAAGTAAAGACTTCCTTGAGTTGATTTTAACTCTTAGTGACTTCTTAGCCATATCCATCTAGTTTTCTAGGCAAAAATATGGAAATATTTTTAGAATCTAGAAATTGGATGAATATGGTTTGCCATTGCCTTCCCTCAGAATATTGTTGCAATTTTCTAATCTAATCTGCAACCCTAGGATTTCTAGTTAGATTCTAACCAGATCTGAATCTTCTTGAGATTAAGCATGTCAGTCTGGTAGTTCTCCCTGCTATGGGTATTCACAACTTCTACTTCAGCAATGTCCAACCTTAGCAACTTTAAGACTTATGGACTTCAACTCCCAGAATTCCCCAGCCAGGAAGATTGGAAACCCCTGATCTACTTGGTGGAAAGTTTTGGAGAGCATGTGGAAGCCAGAGCCAAGGCTTCTGGGGGAAATGCATTGTAGTCCTCAGGTTTCAGATAGTATACCCTTACTCTCTCTGTGATTTCTGCTCCTGTGCTAGATTGTAGTTTTGAAAAGTAGGCATTATGCCAAAATATATTTTAAAATTATGATTCGCCATACTATTACAAATGACTCCTCCATTTAGCTTAGGTAGAGTACAGGTAGTTCTCGACATCCAACAGTTCATTTAGTGACTGATCAAAGTTACAACGGCACTGAAAAAAGTGACCATTTTTCATACTTTGCAGCATCCCCATGGTCACATGATCAAAATTCAGACACTTGGCAACTGACTCATATTTATGACGGTTGCAGTGTCCTGGGGTCATGTGATCACCTTTTGCTATCTTCTCACACGCAATGGGAAGCCAGATTCACATAACAACTGTGGCAAGAAAGGTTATAAAATGGGGCAAATCTCACTTAACAATTTAGCTCACTTAGCAACATAAATTTTGGGCTTAATTGTGGCTGTAAGTCAAGAACTGCCTGTAGTCCTTTTTAATTCTGAAGTATCTTTTGAAATACGCAATTCCAAGGGCACAAAAGAAAACTATGAAGCTGCTTGAAATTCAAGAGGAAATCCTTCAGACAGGAGTTTTCCATCACTGAGTACTTGTTCTTGGGTCTAAATGACCAATTATTTAAAACTTCCATGATAGGAACTTAAAAAGATTGATGTTTAGACAGTTAAAACAATAACAGAATCAAATGTGTCTGGAGGATTTGTTATTGTTTCTAAGCCCAATAAGATATTACGAACGTTCTGTTCTCAGCAGAAAAAGACAAGAAAATTCTTAACATTTCAAAACCCATTAAGTTTCGAACTAATCATTTTGGTCACTTAGGGTTACAAGCATTTAAGAATGTTATCATTCCATCAATTTAAAACTTAGGGGTTTTTTTTCCTTGGAAGATAGCTTTTGACATTGAAAAAAAAATTATAAATGTCCAACCTTTCCTGTTTTTTTTCTATATGTTATACCAAATATGGGTTCATTTCATGCTGAAACTTCTACCCTGCTTAATTGTCTAAAACTCATGTAAACACGAATGGATATATAGTTATATTCCCCAAAACTCCAAATTGCCTTACGTAATAAAAAAAATATTTGGAGCAATTCACTGCTGGCAGTAAGATTTGTATGTTCACATGCCAGAAGTTAGGACTTAAGGTGCAGCAGTGCAGTACCAGACATTTTATAGATTAACAGGAGTAATTTGTCAGCATGACAGAATTACTTTTCATGCTAATTGAAGTGAAAACTTACTCAGACATTAGCTGAACTTTAAGAACGGATTTTCAAGCACTCTTTCACTGCGTATGAAGTTCTTGGACGGTAGAAGTTTTTGTTGTTTTCCAAGTTGCAAATATTTGGTTGTTTGGCCAAATAAATAGAAGGTTGTGTAATTCTGCCAAGGATCGGATATGGAAATGGATATGGATATGGGGACAGATCTTCTTGGAGAAAATCTGTCTACGTAATCACTATGTATTCACTATGTAATCACTATATAATTGCTAATCAATACCAACTTGAAGGCACATAACCAATCAATCAATGAGACCAAGCCAGCCACAACACACACACACTGTGGCATATTGATTTTTGTTCAAGCACATTGCCCAACTAGAGTATGTTTTAGTTAGACAGATCCTATTCGATTGTTGAATATATTCAGATTTCTTAACGCAAATCTTCCATCTGAGGCATAGTATCTTCCGAACTCTTAAACAAATAGAAATTGTTTCAGAAATGATTAATTGAGTAAAATATGTTATATATATTAAATCCAGTTTATATAAATCTCAAACACACTAAAAGATTTTTTTTAAAGCAAGGTAATTATTCTTTCTCTGTGAAGGCAGAAAGAAAACATAACATAAGTTCTCTAAAAGAAACCTGAAACATTAAATTTATATAGCTTTACCAATCCTATTTGCTTTTTTTTTGACTTGGGGAGATAGATCTTAAAAGAATGTGGTATACAGATAGTCTTCAACTTACAACCTAAGATGGGATCAAAATTTCCACTGCTAAGCAATGAGGCTATAAAGCAAGACATCATGTTCCCTGTGCTCAGTCGTTCGGTCCCTAGTCATCCCATCACTGGACTACTGGAATGTGCTCTATACCCTTGAAGCAGAGGTGGGTTTCAGCCGATTCTGACCAGTTCTGGAGAATCGGTAGCAGAAATTTTGAGTAGTTCGGAGAACCGGTGGTAAAAATTCTGACTGGCCCCGCCCCCATCTATTCTCTGCCTCCCAAGACCCAGCTGATCGGGAGGAAATGGGGGCTTTGCAGTAACTCCCTTGGAGTGGGGAGGAAATGGAGATTTTACAGTATCCTTCCCCTGCCACGCCCACCAAGCCATGCCACGCCCACCAAGCCACACCCACAGAACCGGTAGTAAAAAATTTTGAAACCCACCACTGCCTTGAAGAGTATTCAGAATCTAGAGCTGGTGCAGAGTACAGCAGCACAGGTAGTTTTGGGCCCCCCAAGAATGACCCCATAACACCACTGATCCACAGGCTGCATTGGTTACCACCTTGATCAGCTTTAAACCCTTCATGGCATAGGTCCAGGTTACCTGAGAGACTGTCTCACCCCACTGGGGTTGGCCTGTACCAAGGAGGCATGCTGTGGGTCCCGTCAACTTGATTATTCCAGCTGGCAGGGTCCCAGA